GAACTTCCCCCCCCCCCCACGTAAGCTTCCCCCCCTTTGTCAAAAAGCGAGTAAACCTCCTTTTTTAAAGAAGAGCAGCTTTTCGAGTAAGGGGGTGGCTCGCCGAAAAAGTCACGTCTTAATTACTTTCACTTTCGAAAGCTCTGCTTTACTTGGAGTGTACAGAACCATCCAGAAATAAGGGTTGATAGTTACTGGGCAGATCAGTGTTTTCCCCTTAGCTGGGGAGTAAACTTCCATGACGTATAGAATTGCAAATATTCATAATTTGAGAAATGAGCCAGTTACTGCTCGAGTAGGGTATGCTGTATGTGGTGGGGTGCCTAGCCTCATGATCCTCCCAAAGGGGATCTCTCCCCGTCAGGCCCAGCTGCCTAGTCTCTCAGGGTATGTCTACACTACCACCCTAGTTCGAACTAGGGTGGTAATCTAGGCAACCAGAGTTGCAAATGAAGCCCGGGAAATTCAAATCCCGGGCTTCATTTGCGACTCCGGTTGCCTACATTACCACCCTAGTTCGAACTAGGGTGGTAATCTAGGCAACCAGAGTTGCAAATGAAGCCCGGGAAATTCAAATCCCGGGCTTCATTTGCGACTCCGGTTGCCTACATTACCACCCTAGTTCGAACTAGGGTGGTAATCTAGGCAACCAGAGTTGCAAATGAAGCCCGGGAAATTCAAATCCCGGGCTTCATTTGCGACTCCGGTTGCCTACATTACCACCCTAGTTCGAACTAGGGTGGTAATCTAGGCAACCAGAGTTGCAAATGAAGCCCGGGAAATTCAAATCCCGGGCTTCATTTGCGACTCCGGTTGCCTACATTACCACCCTAGTTCGAACTAGGGTGGTAGTGTAGACATACCCTCACAATCAGGCCGGGGGGCCTAGTCTCTCAACGTCTAGTATGGGAGCTAGTAAAGAGGGAGTATAGGGGACCCAGGCCCTCTCTTTCTGCTGGGCTCGAGCCCAGGCGCTATCCATGATGGGTGGTCCCTACCACTGGCTCGGCGGGGAGTTCCCCCTGAAACACGCCAAGCCCGCTGGGTTACCTCCTGCTCCCCGCCCTGGGATGCTTCCTGCCCCACTCCCCTGGCTGGCGTAGGCCCCACCTGTGTATGAAGACCCCACTGCAGAAGCGGTTGTCACGGCAGTGGTGACTGGTGTGGCAGCTGGCGTGTTGGTGGTGGCTGCTGCTGCAGTGGCAGTATCTGTGGCTATAGGCTGTGGCTGCCATGCCAGCAGAAACTGGCGTGGTGGCTGCAGCTGCAGCGCTGGCTGGGTCTGCAGCTTTGGCTCATGCAGCAGCAGCGGTGGCGGCGGCGGCGGAGATGGTAGCAGCGGCGGCGGCAGCTGCTCCCGTGCTCTGGTAGGAGCTTCTTCCCCTCCAGAAGGAGAGCAAACCCCAACTGAGCTGTTTCCCTGGCCATTATAACAGGACCACTGTCGGAGCATGCCCAGCAAGGCTGCGGGGGAAGGGCCTTCTCAGCCCAGCAGGTCAGTTTATTCTCCACTTGGCTAGTGCGGGGTTGGTTCTCCCCATCATAGGAGTATGAGACCACCCAGGTGATCTCATAATTCTAGTGAGATACATGATGGTATCTCTTGGAGTCAGAAGTGAAGCCCAACCCTTGTGATGATTTTGCCTATATCTTGCACCCAGTAGCACAGTCTCCTGGGTTCCCCACAGAATCAAGTCCTCGATACAGTACATCACTCATTGTGCCATATTTATAAAACTTGACTTCAAAAGTTAGGTGTTTTTCCCATGATTCTTTTTTTTTATAACAAAAACCCAGCCTTTATCCAAAGTTTTAGACAGAGATTCAGTTATGCATTCAGCATATTCATTTTTTTTATTTAAAAATTTTAAGAGATTATAATTTTGGGCCTTAACATATTTTGTATTAAAATCAGATTTCATTTGAGTCAGGTTTCTTAAAAAACTTTTTATAATTTAAATAACAAAATAAAAACTCCAATTTAAATAAAAATCCACTTTATTTTGTTTTACATTTTGAAATAATAGATTTTGTTTTACCTGCACTCTTCTATCCTAGACTGATTTTTCTTTCTGCCATTCGCTTACCACTGGTGTCCTGCTCTTTCTGGATGGTCCAAGTCTAAAGACTGCATCCATTTAGTTTTATGTGTTGGATGGTACTTAAGCTGCAAGACAGTAATGTGAGTAATAGGCACACGTTGCTCCAGAAGTTTCCTTATTACCCATCACCAGTGTCAAAACTCCAAAGGATTAGTTTGGATTGTATAACTACTAGAGGTTTTCGGAACTTCTCTAAATCCACTTAATTCTTCAACAGAATGTAAAAATCCTATGAGAGATCAGAAACATCCAGTCTTTACTTCACTCATTAAGCAAGGTAGCACATGAAATTGTAACATAGTGTATGGGGAAAGGTGTCAGAAGTGTTATTTCAACTATTACAAAGCCCAAGAAAGGTTCAGTTCAAACTTCAGGAGGTAGTTTTGAGTGGGTCCCTAGTGAAGAGTAGCAGATGCAACGTTTATAACCAAGTGAAATTTCTTGCATGGGAAAGAGAATGATCTTAATATTATAACATTTTTTATCTCCCCATTTCATTGTAATCAGAATTTCTCTTTGCTTCCCCGGCCCTCTGCTGTTCTAACACTTCCTTTTGTATAATCAGTTACAATTCCCACATTTGCCTCAATGGAGAAATTAGATACTATTGGTATTTCTGCTTTCTATACTTTGTTAATAAAGCTGATTTATTCCTGCTTTGCGTATGCACATGTGATTCAGAAGTCTGATCTCGATATTGCAGAGTTCTATCAGACATTGTATGTCAGTGCTGACTTATTCAAGTGTGGATGATTTGCAGGCAGAACATTCTAGGATTCAAATTAAAAAGAATGCAAGCAAGGCTATCTCCTATGGAATGGATAAATATTAGTAACATATCTTTCTCTGTTGGGGGAAAAGGTGAACTAGTTAAAGTAAAGGATAGTTGTTTTCAATGTACTGTGAATCCCAATTAAAATATATTGTCTCTGACACTCTAATTACACCAAGTGAGTGCTGTAGTGTACATCTGTGTAAAGATTGACTAGACAAGTCAACTTTTCAATGTGGAGCATGGACAATGCTGGGTCAGCAATTAAATGTGATCTGTTAACAAGCAAGTTACACTTTTTCATTATAGTCAGGGCTTTGCTGAGTTAGAAAGAAGTGTGAATACACCCCAAAGTAGAATGAATTCTGCCATCTTTAATCTAGATAAACACCTGTAGATTTCAATAGAAGTTCTGCATAAATCAGAACTGCAGAATTTTGACTTTAATTTTTTTGAGATGAATGTTTTCCATGAACCAGTTAACTTTATCCTTTTTACTGGTGGTTTAGTACTCTTGACCTGCAATGTGCTAAGCAGTATTTGGGAGTACTGAACAGCCTAAATTCTACTGACTCCATTGAGAGTTAAGAATGCGCAACATTTCAGTGTGCTCAGTGCCGTGCAGGTTCAAGCCCTTATTTACTTGGAAAGTGTGTGTTGGGCGAGGTGGGTCGAGAACAGTTCATCTTGAAGATTGATTGAGAAAAGCATTTTTATAATAGTTATTACCGGCAACCCAAGCTTTTATAAGTTTCAGATTGTTTTGCAGCTATAGTTATTTGCTTGTCAGTGGAGTAGGTGATAAACTATTAAAATTCCTCCATTCACTGTGTACAGCGTGGTATTTACAGTCATGAGCCAGTGAAAAGCAACCTGAGGAAAAACAAAAGATTTTATTACCATGAAGTTTGTACCATTTCTTTTCATTCCTGTTTTTCTTGGGAATCCTACAAAATTCCCCCTTATCCTAACAGCTCAGACATATTTTCAAATATGAAGTTTTTATTTAAAAGAAGGAAGGGGGAACAACTTTGATTGCTGATATATAGACAATGTCTGGTGGTGCATAGAATGTTTTTCTTCTCACTTCTTATTGCAGATAATCTCTTTGGCTTGGTCTACACCAGGACCTTATTCCAAAATACGCCCCCCCCCCAATTTATAAGCGGTGCATCCATACAACCAAGCCTGAAATAATGGGCTACGGAATTCAAACTCTCTACTTCTGTTTTTCACAAGGAATAAAGCTAATTCTGAAATAGTAGTTTCAAAATAATATTAATGTGGCTGCTGCGGTGCCGCTAATTCGAATTTACTGGCCTTCGGAAGGTCTCCCACAGCTCCCCAGAGTGCTTCCTGAGGCTCTGAGTCCGAGGTAGCTCATCCACATTATCAGAGCCTGCTTCAGACTAATTTCAATGCTTCCCTATAGTGAGGATACGCTAGTGCAAATTTGTTAAATCGTGGAGTTCTTAATTCGAATGTGGCCTTTGTGTCATTGACCATCCACACTGTGCTACAGCACACCAACATTTGTGGGGTGGGGAAGGATTTGCCATTTATAACCGTTTTAGAGAATTGTATTCATACCATAGATTTCTTCTGTTTTGTACTTGGAGCTTGTCTACATGGGACATTAGTGTGCACTAGATCAGGCCATTCTGCTGCGTACCATTGTACCATATGCTAACTGTTCATGTAGACCCCGCTGGTGCACACTGAAAGTTTCAGTAGTGCATTGATGTAGCAATGTTTGAAATGGGGCATGTGCAAGCATGTTCATGGCCTTATTATTGCTTCTGACTTTCAAAGGGCATCTACACCCTTTCTCGTTCAAATAGTACTCCAAAATTTGGGAGTCAGGTTTTATTTCTGCCTTTTATTTCTGCAATATGTGGATGGATATTACTATTTTTGTTCTGAGTCAGAAAAGGGACTGTTCTTGAAATTAATGGGAAAAATTATTGTGCTTCCCTGTTTGAACAACAGCTGCCACTTAACCCTACTCCTTAAAAACTTTCTATGTAAGTAATGTTCATTGTATTGTTAAACTGTTGGTGTTTTTTTTTTTGCCTTCCTCTATCTGGAACATCATACTAATTTCTACAAGTTGTGATTACTAACAGAGAGCAATCACCTCACAGACTTGTACCGAAAAGAAGAAGTCATCAGTGTCGGAGGAAATGGCTGCATCCATAGTCCCCGCTTCCCGAGTAGCTACCCCAGGAACCTGTTACTGACATGGAGGCTGCTCTCAACAGAGAATACAAGGATACAGCTGGCCTTCGATAATCAGTTTGGTCTGGAGGAGCCAGAAAATGATATCTGCAGGTGAGAGAAAAGCTACCCAGAGAGCTAATCATGTCATTCTAAAAATCAGCTGACCGAAAGTCTTGCATGGTGCTTTGGAGGGGTCCATGAGGGATTTTGTTTCAGATTAAAGAGATGTGTGGCTACCAACACTACCAACTAGACTCTCTGAATAAACTTATCTGTATCAGGGTTACTGTTTTCTGAAGATTAAAGTCTTAGCATGATATTTTAAATGTAGAACACTTCAGTCTTATGCATGGCTGACTCCCTTTGGAAATGCTAAAAGAATAGGGATTTGCCCTCTGTATTTAAAGACAGAGGATGTTTCCTTTTTTCAACTGTGTGAAACACATCTTTTTCAATATGTCAGTTTAGACCATGAGGCATTTTCTGAGAGGAAGGGGTAGACTGGGAAGAGCTGGGATAGGGGACCAGTGTGTAGTGCTCTTGGAATAGTATGGCCAGATTGACTGACTGGCTGTTAGCTCCCTTCAATTATTGTTTGCATCTAGGTATAATTTGTTCTAGCTGATACTGTATATAGCTGCAGAGTCAGCAGTATGCTCTGGCTGCTGTACACCACTCTGATGATGCATAGCAGCTATAAAGTCAAATTACTTGACAGATAAGCCAGGTTTATAGTTTCTTCTCACCAGAATATACACTTGAATTTGGCCCTTAATTAATAAAATAAACTTATAAGAAAGTTTCTGTTGTTCATGTTTTTGTTATTCAGTGGTATATTTAATGTGGGGGGGAAAGCCCAAAGCTTTCCCATGCACTTTCCAAGACACATCTTCTGAGGACAAATTGCTGGGTGGCAATATTGGCACATCAGCATCCAACACACTGACTGTTATTACTTATTGCAGCCCCTATCCAGAAACACTGTGTTATTTTCTTTCTATTCCCACCCTTTTTCATGTCTTCTCTTAGCATCTTCACTTAATTTGCATTTAGAGGGTTTGGCGAGTCACTGTGGGTTTATTCTTATTTTTCAGTGTTCTGCATTGCCAGTGAACTGAGAGCACCATTTTAGTCTGTTTGTTTTCCAGTTAATTACAAAAGAATGCAGCCATGAACTGGCCATCCTTCTCTGCATGTTTATTATCTTGGCAACTTTCACACAGCTTTGTCACTGTTGCTGTGAGAACAATCACAGTGTAAAAGTTATAGTTACCTTCTAGGACCAAAGACTGTTCTGGAATGCAGAAACTAATGCCTGTTCACATTTTACATAGAGAATAAACTATGGCTAACCTTAAATGATTTGAACCTTAAAATATTGATCTAACTGACTGTGGAAAAGGATGAAGCGTTCTCTTGTAAAAGGACATTAAGGGTGATGACACGGTGAGGGAAAGTCAGGTCATTATCTACATACTGGATTTTGACCATGGCTTTGGACAATCTGTCTGCTTTCAAAAGCTACAGATTTATGAAGCAGAGACACAAAGACCTTCCAGAATCTGTAGTGTATATACACGTTGGGAAAATATCCCATTTTTATAGAAATACAACCTTGCCTTGAGTTGTCGTAAGGCTTTTATTTACATGATATTAAAACTAGAATGAGGAAGTTCCCAGGGGATTACTTATAATTACTTTCAAGCTTGTTATGGTAAGTAACATATGATGTTACTTTACCTGTTTGGAGAAACTTTTAGAGGTTTTTTTAATCAGGTTTTTTTATCCTATAGTTTACTTTCATATACTTTCTCTGGTCTACTTCAGCAAAAGCACATCCAAACATATTCTTTCAATAAAGAATGCATCTAAAATTAAACACATACTTATGAACTGACAGCTAAATTGGGACCTTTGCTCTTTAGCCTCCTCTCTCCTATTTTGGACCATACTCCTTTGCGCAAGAATTTCCTGACTGTTTACTTTCAATTTTTAATTGATTTTACTCATTTTAAATTACTGTAAAATTTAAATGGTCTGAAACTTATTTGGGGGTGGGAGTTGAAAAGGTGGACATTTTAATTCACTGTTTGAGAAAGGAGGGAAAATCTAAAAATATACAGTAGTTTCTGCCCATGTTATTAGTGCTCTCAAGGTTTCCCTAAGCATTTCCCCTCTGTGAGGAGGGGTTCTGAAGAGAACTTAAATTATCCTCTCACTGTGGAGCTTTGAATGCATAAACAGATCAAAATTCTCCTTTCCTGTATATTTCTGTGTTCTTAGGGTGAATGACACTGCTCTTAGCAGGTATAATTCTTTAGAAGTCAGTGGATTTGCACCATTTTATGGCAGCAGTGACTTTAGCCCCAGCCAGACCTGGGCTTTCATTGGCTTGGATAGTACATTAGGCATGGTGAATTTTAAACAGCCAGCAACTACAGCTAGTCTGCAGGGGTGGGCTGGTATAGGGATTTTGGAATTATAAGGTGAAACTAAAAGGACACAAAGCAAGCCAGTCATAGGCTGTAGAAGGCCTCTGAGATTTTCCTGAGCAAAAGTAAGGATTAGACCATTGAGAATGGGTGCAAAACTTTTACATTTATGTGCAGTTTAAGTATGAAAAATGTAATTGTTGCAGAGTTTAGACACATTTAGTGATGCAGTTACTGTAGATTCCTTATTTCCTATGCCGTGTAATTTGAGGCCTGTGAATTTAAATGCTGTAATGCTGACAACTCTGTATCTGCACCTTATTTTTATTTTTCTAGGAAGGAATCTTGGAGGCTGAGCAAACCAAGTCTGGCATTTATGGAGCTTTTCTGACCGCCTCCTCTCCCAGCCATCCCCCCGCAGCTGGGAGAGAACTTTCTCAATGACTGGCCTCTGAGAATATTGAATCCCTTTGATAATCAATTAATTATCTAATAGCCCACATGATAATCAATTAATAACTGTTATCATGTTTTCAGAATAAAATTCTTTCCTGAATAGAGATTCCAGAGATTTAGTGCTTAACTGTTGGGTGAGGATGACTCCTCTCTCTGTTCATCATCATAGATTCACAGGAGTAGATGGGATTGCAAAAGTCATCTAATCTAACTCCCTGGGAAGGTGCAGGATTTGTTAGGTCTAAACCAGCCAAGACAGGTGGCTATTCAGACTCCTTTTTTTAAATCCTCCAGTGAAGGAGCTCACACAACCTCCCTAGGCAGTTTGTTCCATTGCCCTATGCTTTACAGTTAGGAAGTTTTTCCCGAGATTTAATCTAAATCCACTATACTATAGTTTGAACCCATTGCCTCTTGCCATGTCCTCTGTGGCAAGAGAGAGCACATTTTCTCCCTTTTGTTTATGGCAGTCTTTCAAGTATCTGAAGACTATTATTGTATCTTCCCTCCTTAATATCTTCTTTTCCAAACTAAACATACTCAGTTTCTTCAGCCTTTGCTCATAAACATTGTTTCAGCTCTCTGTACTAAACCTCTCTGTCTGCCTTGTCTCCAGCTTTCTGCCAAGGCTGAATGGAACACTTGGGGCCTGACCCCAAGCATATTGAAATCAATTGAATGACTCTCACTGTTGTCAGTAAGCATTGGCTCATGGTTTTGATGGCTGCCCTCTTGGTCATCTAAAGCAAAACTGCGAAAAACTCAATAAACTATACAAGCTACTGACAAAATTATAGGAACAAACTGATACTACTTTAACTGTGTGTAACCTATGCCAGCAGTTCTCAAACTTCACGGCACCACAAGCCCCTTCTGCCAACAAAAATAACGACATGACCCTGGACATGGGTGGGTTGGAGCTTGAGCCCTGTCATCCTGATCTAAAGCCCTTGGGCTTCAGCTTCAGCCCTGGACACGTGGGCTCAGGCTTTATCTTTAGCCTGAGGACCTAGCAAGTCTAATGCCTGCCTAGGTGATCCATTACAATGGGGTCCCAACCCACTTTGGGGTCCTGCTGCACAGTTTGAGAACCATTGACCTATGTTAACACAGTGTTGCTCTTTGTTCCCTTCTAGTGGCTAAACTATGTATAGTGGTTTATGAGTCAATGGACAGATTTAGCTCAAGCAATGTAAGCCATGGTTTCAATTGCTGCAGGACTGATACTTAACTAGAGTTATTGTTGCATATATAACCTAAATTCAGTGTACCCATTAACGTCACTGTACAAAAATGTCTCACTGCTGTAAATTACCATCTTGATCTAGTTTTTGTCTGCTGAAAATTAAAAAGTTCTGTTCCTTAAATAAAATTGTGTCAAATGTACAGTCTGTTAACCAGCTACATAAAAATGGTAAGGTTATTTTGTTGCAAGGATAAATGTCTGAAAAAGCATCCTCACTGCAGCATGTTAGGGAATATTGTTCACTTGCACTCTGACAGTAAAAAAAAAACCCTACTCATACCACAACCATCACAATATAAAAATGGCCATTCCAAAGGTCCACCTAGCCCAGTATCCCGTCTTCCAACAGTGGCCAATGCCAGATGCCCCAGAGGAAGTGAACAGAACAGGGAATCTACTAGCATTCCCTCTTCCGTCACCCATTCTTATCCTCTGACAAAGGCCAAGGACACCATTCATACCGATCTGTACTAATAACCATTGATGGATCAACCTCTATCAATTTATCTAGTTCTTTCTTGAACCCTGTTAAAGTTCTGGTCTTCACAATCTCCTTTGGCAGGGAGTTCCACAGGCCGACTGTGCGCTGTGTGAAGAAAAACTTGCTTTTGTTTGTTTTAAACCTGCTGTCTATTAATTTTATTTGGTGACCCTGAGTTCTTATGTTATGGGAACAAGTAAATAACTTTTCCTATTCACTTTTTCCAACCAGTCATGATTTTATAGATCTCTATCATATCCCCGCTCAGTCTCCTCTTTTCTAAGCTGAAAAGTCCCAGTCTCTTTAATCTCTCTTCATATGGGACCCGTTCCAAACCCCAAATCATTTTTGTTGCCCTTTTCTGAACATTTTCCAATGCCAACATATCTTTTTTGAGATGAGGCAACCATATCTGTACACTGTATTCAAGATGTGGGCATACCATGGTTTCATATAGAGGCAATCAGATGTTCTCTATCTTATTCTCTATCCCTTTTTAATGATTCCTAACATTGTTTACTTTTTGACTGCTGCTACTCACTGAGTGGATGTTTTCAGAGAACTATCCACAATGACTCCACGATCTCTCTCTTGAGTAGTTGTAGCTAAATTAGTCCCCATCATACTATATGTATTGTTGGGATTATTTTTTCCAATGTGCATCACTTTACATTTATCAACATTAAATTTCATTTGCCATTTTGTTGCCCAGTCACTGAGTTTGGTGAGATCTTTTTGAAGCTCTTCACAGTCTGCTTTGGTCTTAATTATTTTGAGCAGTTTAATATCATCTTCAGATTTTGCCACTTCACTGTTTATCTCTTTCTCCAGATCATTTATAAATAAATTGAATAGGATTGGTCCCGGGACAGACCCTGGCTGGGGGGAGGGAGAAGGAGGGGAACACTAGTTACCTTTCTCCATTCTGAAAATTTACCATTTATTCCTACCCTTTGTTTCCTGTCTTTTAACTATTTATCAGTCCATGAGAGGACCTTCCCTCTTATCCCATGACAACTTAGTTTACTTAAGAGCCTTTGGTGAGGGACCTTGTCAAAGATTTTCTGGAAGTCTAAGTACATTCTATCTACTGGATTCCCCTTGTCCACATATTTGTTGACCTCCTGTCATGGCTGTTCCCCACTCTGGCACGACAAATGCAGAATTGGGGGCCCACAAAACACCTCAAAATCTGGTCTCTACAGGCTTTGGTACAAAAACTGCCCCTCCCCCCAAATCCTAAACCCCAGATTTTGGGGAATATCTGCTGCCACCACCCAAGTATTCCAAGCAAATCAGGGAAGCGATCACTTGGAAAACCACCTCCCTAAAACCTCAGGGGTATGTCAAGCTCTTTTTCCCCAAAGAGCTTGAGAAAGAAAAGAGAAACAAGCTGCAGTCTGTGGTAGCTGACTCCTTAGCCAGCCAGACAGCCAGACCTTACAGGTAAAACTAGGACACAAAAATAAACCAATACCAGGTTAATTAGAAGACAATAAACTTTTATTATCAAAACAAAACCATAGTTGCAAGCATAGTGACTAGATGAAAAAGAGCCACCAATTCATATGCTCATGCAGCTCAAAACTTAGTTACAAAAGAGAGAAAAACCACTTTTAATAGCACAAACATCATTTCCACATTCCCAAACTGGAAAACAAATAAAACCTGATGGATTAGCTAAACTTTGACCCTCTTACACATTGTCAGAAGACTTTTTTTTTTGCAGAGAGACAGGCCTTCCCATCTCCCTGTTACTTGGAAGAAATCGCTCTGACTCAGACAAAGGAGGGAAAAGATAAAAATTCCTTTGTCCCAGTTTGAAATCCCTACCTGCATTACTATTGGCTGACCAGATACCTGGCTAGAGACAGGAGACATAGTTAACCCGTTAGTCCCCAGGCTGCTGGTTAGCCCTCCTGGTTATAACGCCCCCTCCCCTCAAAGAACGCTAGTAGGTTAGTAAGGCATGATTTCCCTTTAAAGAAATTATAATGACTTTTCCCCAACAAATTATGTTCATCTTATGTGTGTGACAATTTTATTCTTTACTATTGTTTCAACTAATTTCTCCAGCATTGACATTAGACTTACCAGTCTGTAATTGCCAGAATCACCTCTAGAGCCCTTTTAAACAGTTTTATATTCATGTGCACCTTAAGCAAGAAAAATGTAATTGTTGCTGAGTTTAGACACATTTAGTGATTCAGTTACTGCAAATTCCTTGTTTCCTACACAACCATCCTACATATTTAAAATTCTTAGTAACTTTCAGCACTTTAAGGACTAAGCTAGCATTTTTACCATCTATAATTTTTAATCAAATGTTTTGTAGTGGAATCCAATATACATTTGACCAATTTTTGAGCAGTGTTCCTGTGTAGTGGCAGCAGTTCTATGCAATGAGAATTTAATACATTATCAAACTGATCTGCAGGTATGACTTTGTGGAGGTGGAAGATCTATCTGAAACCAGCACGGTTATCCGAGGACGGTGGTGTGGTCACAAGGAAGTTCCTCCAAGAATAACATCCAAAACAAACCAAATAAAGATAACCTTCAAATCTGATGACTACTTCGTGGCTAAACCTGGATTCAAGATATATTATTCCCTTGTGGTAAGTAACTTCTCAGAGGGTACAGGATAGGCCAGAGTGTGAAAGAACAGCAATATTGGGAGACTGGATGACATAGCTTACTGCAGCTGATTACAATATTAATTAACTGAAAATACTTTCCTTCCAGCAACTACGCACAGATAAAAACAGTTTTGACATCCTGTTATTAAATAGAAACTAAAGACAAGTCCATCACAAGATGTAAAACTAATAATATGTTTCAGAAACACTAACACTTTCTGCACTGAGGCAGCAGTTTGAGCACACTGACAAACACCACAGCAATGACAGTTGAAATGATTGCTGTTTAAACTCCATTTTGATTTTCATTTGCTATAAAGAAAAATACTGTCAGGGAGTTAGGACTGTGATTCTAAGCAAGAAGTAACATAAGAACATAAGAATGGCCATACTGGGTCAGACCAAAGGTCCATTCAGTCCTTTATCCTGTCTGCCGACAGTGGCCACTGCCAGGTGCCCTAGAGGGGGTGGACCAAAGACAATTATCAAGCAAATTGTCTCCTGCCATCCTTCTCCAGCCTTTGACAAACAGAGGCCAGGGGCACAATTTCTTACCCCATGGCTAATAACCTTTTATGGACCTAACCTCCATGAATTTATCTAGCCCTTTTTAAAAATCTGTTATAGTCCTAGTCTTCACAGCCTCCTCTGGCAAGGAGTTCCACAGGTTGACTGTGCGCTGTGTGAAGAAGAACATTCTTTTACTAGTTTTAAACCTGCTACCCATTAATTTTATTTGGTGTTCTCTAGTTCTTCTATTATGGGAACAAGTAAATAACTTTTCCTTATTCACCCTCTCCACACCACTCATGATTTTATATAACTCTATCATATCCCCCCTCAGTATCCTCTTTTCTAAACTGAAAAGTACCAGTCTCTTTAGCCTCTCCTCATATGGGACCTGTTCTAAACCCCTAATTATTTTAATTGCCCTTCTCTTAACCCTTTTCTAATGCCAAAATATCCTTTTTGAGGTGAGGAGACCATATCTATATGCAGTATTCAAGATGTGGGCATACTATAGTTTTATAAAGGGGCAGTAAGATATTCTTCATCTCATTTTATATCCCTTTTTTAATAATTCCCCACATCCTATTTCCTTTTTTGACTGCCACTGCACACTGTGTGGATGTCTTCAGAGAACTATCCACGATAACTCCAAGATCTCTTTCCTGATTAGCTGTAGCTAAATTATCCGCTGTATGTATAGTTGGGGTTATTTTCTCCAATGTGCATTACTTAACATTTATCCACATTAAATTTCATTTGCCATTTTGTTGCCCAACCACTCAGTTTGGTGAGGTATTTTTTAAGTTCTTCACAGCCTGCTTTGGTCTAGACTATCTTGAACAGTTTAGTATCATCTGCAAACTTTGCCACCTCACTGCTTACGCCTTTCTCTAGATAGTTTATGAGTAAGTTGAATAGGATTAGTCCTCGGACTGACACTTGGGGAACACCACTAGTTACACTTCTCCATTCTGAAAATTTACCATTTATTCCTACCCTTTGTTTCCTGTCTTTTAATCAGTTCTCAATCCATGAAAGGACCTTCCCTCTTATCCCACGACAACCTAATTTACACAAGAGCCTTTGGTGAGGGACCTTGTCAAAGGCTTTCTCAAAATCTAAGTACACTATATCTACTGGATCCCGCTTGTCCTCATGTTTGTTGACCCCTTCAAAGAACTCTAATAGATTAGAAAGACATGATTTCCCTTTACATAAACCATGTTGACTTTTGGCCAACAAATTATGTTCTTCTACATGTCGGACAATTTTATTATTTACTATTGTTTCAACTAATTTGCCCAGTACTGATATTAGACTTAGGGGTCTTTAATTGACAGGGTCACCTCTAAAGCCCTTTTTAAATATTGGCGTTATGTTAGTTGTCTTCCAGTCCTTAGGTACAGAAGCCGATTTAAAGGATAGGTTACAAACCACAGTTAATAGTTCCGCAGTTTCACATTTGAGTTCTTTCAGAGCCCTTGGGTGAATGCCATCCGGTCCCGGTGATCTGTTACTGTTAAGTTTTTCAATTTGTTTCAAAACCTCCTCTAATGACACTTCAATCCAGGACAGTCCCTCAGATTCATCACCCACAAAGGACGGTGCAGTTTTGGGAATCTCCATAACATCCTCAGCCATGAAAACTGAAGCAAAAAAATCGTTTAGTCTCTCCACAATGGCTTTATCATCCTTGATTGCTTCTTTCGTATTTTGATCATCCAAGGGCCCCACTGATGTTTTAGCAGGCTTTCCTGCTTCTAATGTACTTAAAAAACATTTTGCTGTTACTTTTTGAGTTTTTGGCTAGCTGTTTCTCAAAAACTTTTTTGCTTTTCTTATTACATTTTTACACTTAATTTGGCAGTGTTTATGTTCCTTTCTTAATTTGGCAGTGTTTATGTTCCTTTCTCTTCCACTTTTAAAAAGATTCCTTTTTATCTCTCTCTACTTCTTTTACATGGTTGTTAAGCCATGGTAGCTCTTTCTTAGGTCTCTTACTATGGTTTTTAATTTGGGGTATACATTTAAGTTGGGCCTCTATTATAGTGTCTTTGAAAAGTTTCCATGCATCTTGCAGGGATTTTACTCTAGTCACTGTACCTTTTAATTTCTGTTTAACTAACCTCCTCATTTTTGCATAATTCCTTTTTTTTAAATTAAATGCCAGTGTGTTGGACTGGCACTTCCCACTACAGGAATGTTAAATGTTATTATATTATGGTCACTATTCCCAAGTGATCCTGTAATAGTTACCTCCTGGACCAGATCCTGCACTCTACTCAGTACTAAATCGAGAATTACCTCTCCCCTTGTGAGTTCCTGTACCAGCTGCTCCAAGAAGCAGTCATTTAAGGCACCAAGAACTTTTATCTTTGCATCGCATCATGAGGTGACATGTACCCAGTCAATATGGGGATAATTAAAATCCCCCATTATTATTGAGTTTTTTATTTTGATAGCCTCTCTAATCTCCCTTAGCATTTCAACGTCACGATCATTGTCCTGGTCAGGTGGTCGATAATATATCTCTACTGCTGTATTCTTATTAGATCATGGAATTACTATCCATAGTGATTCTATGGAACATGTTGTTTCTTTTAAGATTTTTACTTCATTTGATTCTACATTATCTTTCACATATAGTGCCACTACACCACCAACTTGACCTATTCTGTCCTTCCAGTATATTTTATATTCCAGTATGATTGTGTCCCACTGATTGTCCTCATTCCACCAGGTTTCTGTGATGCCTATTATGTCAATCTCCTTCTTTAATACGAGGTACTCTAGTTCACCCATCTTATTATTTAATCTCCATCTGATGCATGTGCTCCTTCACACCAATCGGCTTTCCCCCATCTCTTACTTTAAAAACTGCTCTACGACCTTTTTAATGTTTAGTGCCAGCAGTCTGGATCTATCTTGGTTTAGGTGGCGCCCATCCTTCCAACATAGGCTTCCCCTCTCCCCGAAGTGTTCACAGTTCCTAATAAATCTAAATCCCTCCTCCCTACATCATCGTCTCATCCATGCATTGAGACTCTGAAGTTCTACCTGCCTACCTGGCCCTGTGTGTGGAACAGGAAGCATTTCAGAAAATGCCACCATAGAGGTCCTGGATTTCAGTCTCTTTCCTAGCAGTAAGGAGTTTAATCCACATGCAGTATAATACAATACAAAGTATGTTAAAGTTCACATTGTTGTTATAAGCGCTAAGATTCTTTATATTATGTAGCAGTATTGCCATTGTAGAACAAGCTGATTTGATGAGATGAGAATCCTTTGTTTTTAAAGAAGCAGGAATATTCATTAGTCTAAGTAGATTTTGAAACAAATGTGTTTTCCGTGTATTGTCCTCAATAACGATATAATCATTTTGGTGCAATATAGCTGAACAGAGACGAGTTTTGCAATCAGATAGTAATTTATTAATATGATGTCATTATGTTTTCATATCCTTCACAATCTGGACTTTTTAAATTCAATACAGTGTTATACATCTAGGTTTTCTTAATTTTGTTAGCAATAAGATTAAATTTGTACTAGGAAAAATCCAATATTTACACCATTTCATTTCTGCTAGTGCCTTTTGTTTGTGTGTAAACAATTGTACACTAACCTATTCCATGTCTAAATATGGGGTATACATTGTAAAAATATCTTTAAGGCTACAAATTTAAAGCCAGATGCTGCTTATGTGCATGTAAACATTGGTCTACTCATGGAGTAAAGTACTACTCTGTGGGAATAAGAACAGCAGAATCAGGAGCTTAATTTGAAGAAAGGAAGACTAAGTAATATTTATGATGTCGCAGTCCATCATCCACAAAGCATAAACATTCAAAAAAGGAAGCAGCCTCTTTTACATTGTGTGTTTAATATTTTCAGAGAAATTGTTACAGTTATCTAACTTTGCATAGCAACCATGTATAGCTCATATATGACCCTTAGGTTTTGAGAAAAAGAACGTTATCATTCAAAGTAGAAGATATTCAGTACTAGAAAGCTCAAAGTATAGTTGCTCTACGGCTGTGTCTACACTGGCACCCTTTTCCGTAAAAGGGATGCTAATGAGACACTTCGGAATTGCAATGCCACGGGGGATTTAAATATCCCCCGCGGCATTCGCATGAACATGGCTGCCACTTTTTTCCGGCTTGGGGTTTTGCCGGAGAAAAGCGCCAGTCTAGACGGGATCTTGTGGAAAATAAGTCCTTTTCCAGAAGATCCCTTATTCCTACTTTCAAAACCCTGAACCGGAAAAAAGCGGCAGCCGTGTTCATGCAAATGCCGCGGGGGATATTTAAATCCCCCGCGGCATTTGCAATTCCGAAGTGTCTCATTAGCATCCCTTTTATGGAAAAGGGTGCCAGAGTAGACACAGCCTACCTGTGTAATGCTTAGGGAAGAGTAAACAGAGTGCTTTGCCATATAGCTGCTGTTGTGTGAGAGAATTTTATCCAAAC